TTTTCCTGAAGGCTGGGTTGGATGGTCTTTATCCTTGTTATGACTTGGAGGTTGAATATCCGCTGAAGGCTCAGATGTTGAAGGACCGATCCTGAAGTGCTGTTAGAAGGTGGTAGAATCTTCAGGAAGTGGTACCTAGTAGAAAAAAGTAAGATCACTGGGGCTGTACTCTTCAAGGGAATATTTGGACAATGGCCCTCCTGTTATTTCACTTTCTTTTGTTCCCTGGTTATCGTGAGGTGCACAGATTTCTCCAATCATAGATTCTGTGCTCTACATCTTCACCATAGGCCCTGAAGCAACAAGACCAAGCAACCAGGGACTAAAACCTCCCAAACCAAGAATCAAAATAGATCTCTCCTCATAGGTTGATTATCTCAGGCATTTTGTCACAAGCATAGAAAGCTCCTCTAGGCCAGAGTAAGGAATATGAATGTGTTCACTTGCAAAATCCCATAGCTTGTCTTCAGGAAGATGTGCTGAGGGTGGGTTTCCTAGCATGTGGGTTTCCTTTGTGCATATGCTAGTTCTAGGTGCTACGATTTAGCTGTCTTACAAACCTCACCACTGTTACATTGCTCTGTTACCCTTAAGTAGCTTCTTGGAGTTTTCACTGTGAATGTTTGACCCCAGTCTGGTGTTCTTGACTTTTCAAGACCAAGGACACAAGCCATCACTCTGTTGTTCCTCCTCACTGCTCCTTTTCCTTCAGGATACAGATACTTATTCATTTATTCATTATCCCCCTGACTGACACATGTTGCCATGACATGTCTAAACTGTATCTGGCTCCTAAAAACACCTTCTCAACTTCCATTGGAAGGAATAGTTTCCTCCCTTGAATTTTCAGAAGATGTATACTAGAAAGGGGTGTCACCCAATAATGCTACAGACTTATTTGTGCACTTGTGGTTTAGAACAAGTTATTTGTGTCTACTATCAACAGACATTAACTGTTGGATTATTTTTCTCTCCTTCAAATGATCCTAGAGTTTCTTTCTTATGGAGTCATGACATTTACCTTCATTAACATGGCCCATGGACAACTCCAGTTTCTATGACTCTTGCTCCTAAGTGTTGTAATTTGGAAAGGAAATCAGATTTCTATAGCTTGATTCACAAGCTTTCCTCTGGATCAACCTCCACAGTGGCCATGAGTGTTTTCACTGAGCCAGACATGAATCCTGGCAGATTATCACTTAAACCTGGCCAAGAGATCTTGCCCTAAAAAGAGGAGGAAGCAGAAATAGTCTGCAGCCACCACAAGAGGTCACTAATAGAAGAAGGAAGAAAGAATGCTAGAAGAAAAAACAACAGATGTCCACTACAAAGTGTTTATGGAATGAATGAGTCATTGATTCATTCATTTTGTTGCCTCTTAAAAGCCCCTAGGTTAGTTTGTCTCTCAGTTCTATATGTCTAGATCAGAATGCTTGTGTTTTTCCATGGTCTGTGTCTCTTTCCTCATCATGTCAGTCTTGGGGCACTCAGGGTGTTCTATGTGGGGGAAACACAGGAAGTCCTCTGCCTAAGTAGCATGTATAGCAATAAGTGCTTCACCTTCTGCCACTGAGTTGTTACCATACACGAGCTGAGTTACTAGTATACTTTGGGCACTGATAATGAGCCAGATACAAGGGGTTGTCCCTCAGATGACGTGGATAGTTCAGACAAACACCAATTACAGTATTGTCATTGGTGCTCCAGTGTAGCATTCAGCAGCCCTCAGCAGGGACTCATGAGCTCTGGCTGAGAGTTTTTTATTTTTTAAGGAAGTAACATTAGAGGTCTTTGGGATAAATAGGACTTTTCCAGGTAGAGAAGAAGGAAAGGGGAGATTTAAGATTGTGTGTGGGGTGTTGAAATAGAGAAAGTGTAGGGGAAATAGGGAGGATGAACATGCTGAGGGTATGTCTAAGCACTGTTGCTTTGGACACCAATATGATCATATCTATTGAATATAATTCTGCTGGACTGTGTTCCATAAAAATTAGGATACTGATATGTAACGACATGTAAATGAAGATGTTTATTAATATGTTGTTTGTGGCAGTTAAGAACTAGAAGCAAAGGGAGTGCTCAGAGTGGCCAGTAAATTGCAATGAATGTGCAACACAGAATATATTTTCAGACTTTGTAAAGAATGTTTCCAGACTTAATTGGAACACTTGAAGGAATTTCAATGCTAAATAAGAAAATAAGAAAATGTAGCAAGATGTATTTATTTATAGTCATATTTAGGAAACAAACAGTGTAATACACTAGATAATATAGATAGATATAGATATTAGTATAGCTATAGTTCTGGGTAGGATGTATGAATCTCATGAATGTGAAGACAAATATGGAATGCTACTTCTGAGGTTACCTTGGATTGGCCAAGATGGGAATGAGACAGGGGTGAGCAGGTATAATAAAGTGTAGAAGATTAGACACATCTATGATCACTATGAGATCTGACTGCACTTACATACATTAGAGGAGTTTAGGAAACAGAATGAGGATTGGAGCACTATGACTTCAAATGCCAGGACTCTCACATACACACACATACATGCAATTAGCTATACATTCAAATTCTTGACAAAATAAAATGTCTATTTTCATTAAGGGTAGGGGATAAAGACAGAGGTCATTCATTGTGAGTTTTTTTTGTTTCTAGCAATTTTAAAGGCAATTTCCTCTAGGAAACCACAAATACAGTTTCTATGGTTTCACAGGATAAGCTTGTGGTTAAAGAAATGCATTTAAAAGCATTAAGTCAAATACATGCATATCTCAGAAAGCCCTGATTTTCTCATGAAAGAACTGTAAACCCAAAGATGATTTAACTTTGATACCTGGAAAGTATCCTTATTACTTCAATTCCACCTGATATCTTTGCTTGAACAGGCTGGCTCCATTGGTGTCTTTAATTGCCAATATGAACAAAAATCAAAAGCCAGGAACCTACCTGTTCTATACAGCCCCGCCCGCATCACATTTAACCCCTTACCTCCTCATTGCTGTCTTTACCTTTCCATCCCTACTGGCTCTTCACTACTCTGTCATTCTTGCTGCTCCTCTTACATCTCAAGGCATTTTTGACCCAGAACCTTTTTATTTAATGTTCTCTTGCCTTTGAACCATTTATCCTCAGATATACTATGGCTTTCTCCCTTATGTCCTTCAAGTCCTTGGCCAAATGTCCTATTTGCAGTGAGTTGTTTCCAATCCACTTATTATTTTTTTTGGAGGGGAGTCCGGTCATGGGGCTTGAACTCTTGGACTGGGCGCTGTCTCTCAGCTCTTCAGCTCAAGGCTAGTGCTCTACCACTTGAGCCAAAGTGCCACTTCCGGCTTTTTTCTTTTTGCTTATGTGGTGCTGAGGAATCGAACCCAGGGCCTCAGGCATGCAAGGCAAGCACTCTACCTCTGAGCCACCTTTCCAGCCCACCAATCCACTTATTTTAATGCCAGTCCCCTCCTACCTTCTCAACACTCTAGAATGTCTTTCCTCCTCTTTTTTCCTCCTAGCATCTACTACCTCTAACATAATTTATACCTTGTTCATTTATTTTGCAACTAAACTGTCCTGTCACTTAGATAAGGAAATTGATTGTTATTTGTAGTTATAGCCCCATTCTTACCACATTGCTTAGCACAGGGAGGCACCAAATACATATTTGTAAGTGTGTGAGTGGATTGTGGCAGGTGGCTTGAGGCCTTCTCCTCAGAGACCAACAGGAGACTTTTAGAAGGCAGAGGGCTTTAAGCTCATTGTAGGTGCCCAATTGTGCACATCTTCTTAGGCTATGCACTGATAGTGAAACTGGTCATTGTTTCATTCTACTTGCTTATTAGGGCAGATCCAAAGCTCTTTGAGCATGAAGGCTTGATATCTTTGTGTCTGCTCTCACCACCCAGGGCCTGGAATTAAATATAAGACACATGTTTAATGCTTCATTATTTATCTGATATTACTGACTTAGGTGACTAAGTGAATTCTAGAGTGAAGTTTATTTGATTACGATCTTAGGATCTATCTAATCCATGTTCTTATGCTGTTTTACTAGAATGAACTTTTTATCATAATAATGATATTCAGGCTCACCATATAAAATTTGGAAACCAGGCACTGTGGCACAAGCCTGTAATTCTACCTACATGGAAGACAGAGTTAGGGGGATCACTGTTCAAGGCTGGCCTAGGCCTCCTCCAAAAGAGTTCTCAGGCTCCATGTCCACTAATAGCTTGGTTTGGAGGTCTGTTTCTGTCATCCTCTAGCGACAGGGGAAAACAAATAAGGTGGTCACAGTGTAGGCCTGCCTGGGGAAAAAGCAAGATCCTATCTTGAAAATAACCAATACAAAAATGGGCTCGTGGAATGGCTCAAATGGTAGAACACCTACCTAGCAAGTATGAGTGCTGATATCAAACCCTGGAGCAACAATAACAACAACAAAGGAAATTAGAGAAAAGTGTAATGAAGGAGGAAAAAAGAAATCTTTTAGTTTCCCAATCCATAAAGCTCCTTCAGTTAAAAGCTTTCCTTTAAATGCATTTTCTAGATACATTATCTTGCCATTGCATTTTCTAGATACACTCTTTTGTCATTATTGTCATAATTTTGTGTGTATTTGTATTTTTGCATTGTTGTCTTCCCCATTTTATGAGCACACATTTTTCTTTGCTATCAACTCTCTGTAGAGCATGATACAAATTTAAGAGCATACTGTATCACTTTATGTATCAATACCCTGGCTCATTTAGCATCACAGGATTTGATAGTTAGACTATATCAATTTCCTTTAAGGATCATCCACTGGCTACTGTCAAGCATCAGTTCTTGTTGCTTGTTAGTCTGGTCACTTGCCTCAAACTTCATGTCCATTAGCTGGAGATACGGAGGAATAACTGAGGATGACCTTCAGGAATTAGAGAAACATTGCTGAGGATATAGTAACTGCATAGTAAATGTCCAGTAGCCTGGGGTTAAACCCTTTGTTTCTGGGTTTCAGGCTGGGCCTAATGCAGGTAGACTCAGTCCAGCGCTGGATGGAGGACCTGAAGCTCATGACCGAGTGTGAATGCATGTGCATCTTGCAGGCTAAGCCCATCAGCCTGGAGGAGGATGCGCAGAGTGATCTCATTTTGGCAGGAGGTCCAGGGCCTGGGGACCCCCTGCAACTGCTGCTCAAGCGGGGCTGGGTCATCAGCACGGAGCTGCGCAGGATCGGGCAGAAGCTGGCACAGGACCGCTGGGCACGTGTGCACAGCATGAGTGTGCGTCTGACTTGCCACGCCCGCTCCATGGTCAGTGAGTACAGCGCAGCCAGCAGGAGCTCCTCGCAGGAAATGGGCCAGGTCAGTTGATCTGGGGTAGGACTAAGTGGGAGTGCATGGAATCTGAATCTTTGGGTCAGCAGTGTCCCTCCTCTTCTAGTAAATCAGGGAAGGATAATAAAGATCTTAATGTGTATGTACTGTATCACAGGTCAAACATATTGCACAAACATAACCTGCACAACTGTTGAGGGAGCCACCACCATTGTCAACAGCTGTACAGTAGTTGATGTAACAACTTTAATTCCAGACTGCCTGAGATCAAATGTTAACTTTGCTGTGACTTAACTTCTCTGCATACCATTTCTTGCATCCAACTAGATGTAGGAACATGGATTTTACCGACTTCTTAGAGTTATTACATGTAAAACACTTAAAGTATTTAGTTAAAAATGTTAGAATCATTATCTTCACTTTATACTTGAGAAAACAGAAGATCTAAAAGTTAAGCCACAGGTGGAGCAAGTGGGGCTCAACCTCATCTTTTTTGATTTCATAACCCATTTGAATTTTCTTCCCACAGCCCAAAAGGAACCATTGAAAATTCCCCCCCCCCAGATGACCTCTCTCCTCTCACACTACTTACCTTAGTGCTTTACTCTTTGTCTCAAACCTTTCCTTCCTCCACTGTGTAGATAGCAGGCTTCTACTCATCCACTGAAACCCAGCAAACATGCCCCTTCCTCGATTGAGCTTCTAGAGCTCCCAGACTCACCTGCTACTTGATTGTACTTTTTTTGTGCTGTCAAAGCATTAGGTGTGATCACTTTTGCCACATATAATGCAGTGTAATAAAGTTTATGGGCTGGATTCCTTCATTCTTCACCTTTGTGCCTCTCAGTGCCTGATATGGCGGTTGGCTATCAATCAGTGTTGGTTGAATTCAATAGCAGAGTTCTCTTTTCTCTAGGTGGAGAAGTTGCTAATGGAGAAGTGCTCAGAGCTCTCTGTGGTCACTGAGAGGTAAGTCTGTCCTGGGAAGGGAAAGAAAGGGGCTGGTATCTCTCCCAGTGGAAAAGTAGGAGTGCAGAGGCCTGGGGGTGGTCTTGGGTTGTTTTTTCTGGCTTATATCAGAAACATGAAGAGATTTCCTTGGATTTTCTACCCTTAGGATCAGATAGCAGGTAGAAAAGAGGCCTTGGCACTGGAATAAAATTGACTAAGTGCTGGGAACAAGGAAAAGTGTTCCTACAACTTTGGAAAGCCCCCCTTGGTGCTCTGCAAAGTTAAGGCAAGAGTCAAGACAAGGCGAAAGCAGACGTGCACACTATACACACACACATACACACACAATCACTTGTTATCCACAGAAATAAACACATTGTACAATACCAAAATCACACTTATACCCTCTTCCCTCCATTGCACATTCCTAAATATGCATCCGTTCTCAGAAGTACACATACACTCAGCCTCATGCGCACACACTGAGTGTAGGTTGGCAATCCTTGCCCCTCCCAGCCTTGAGTGTCCTGGCTCTTGGTAACCTGGGGCTTGGTGAGATTCTGTCTTTCTCTGGGTGAATAGGATTGCATCCCATTCTGGTTTTCCTGGCTTGGAAGAACATCCTCCAGGCTGCTCTCAGAACACTACAGGAAGCCATTTCTGCTAGGGCCATGGATATTGCCTCCTGCCCTCAGAATGAGCATGCCAGTGAACCTCTTCCCAGCCTTCTACCACTCTCCATGACCCTGGACATCACTGAGATCCTAGACTTCAGTTGTAGTGATAACTGGCTCTCTACAAGACAAACCCCAAGAGCTATGTTTACTCAGATATGATGGCCTTATTTCCCAGTGTCAAAGCTTTTGATGTGTCCAGCACCTCTCTGCAAACTAAAGGATCAGGAAATAAGCCAGGTATAGAAACTTCATCTCTGACTTCCTTGGGACTGATGCTTTCCTCCTCATCTGTTCTTGCCACACGCTCAGCCTCATACAGGTCATATCTGACCCCAGTAATGGTTCTGGGGAACCAGGGACCCCATTTCACAATGCTCCCCATGATTCTTCTTCCCAGGTGCCTGCAGGTGGAGAATGAGCATGTCTTGAAGTCGATGAAGGCCTGTGTGAGTGAGACCCTGAGCACGCTAGGGCAGCACTTTGGGCAGCTGCTGGAGCTGGCACTGACACGGGAGGTGCAGGTCAGTGCAGGCGGGTCTGGAGGGTGTCCATGAGAAGGGAAGGGCTAACAAAGCAGACTGGGGAAAGCTGCCACCCGTCCTTTCTTGGGAGACATACTCTTCCAATCACCAAAGTTAACTCTATCATCTGTGAGACAGGAGTGTCTGAGCTTGAGAGAGGCTTCCTGAGCACTTAACCCAACTCTGCATTTTCCATTTATGCAAACTAGAATCCAGAGAGAGGAGACTTATTTTGGGTTGCATAACAGGATGGTGGCAAAAGCTGGCGTCTCCCAACTACACTTTCAGCTTTGTTTGTACCACCCTGAATCTGTTGAGTTATTCTTCATGGGTCACATAAAGGATTTTTCCTATCATGACAGGCTTAAGGTACCTTCTGGGAATAAAGCAATTCTGGAAGTCTTGGTCATAGAGAAGGTTTGACAAAGGTCAAATGCAGTCTAGTCCCCCCGTTTTAAGATACACTCAGGCTGGGTTCTAGAAAGAGGGAGAGCTTTTGGAGTCTGACAGATCTCCTTTCAAAGTGTGGTTCACCATGAGATGCTCGTCAAGTTCCTTAACCTCTCCCAGCCTTGATTCCCTCATCTTCGAGGTGAGAAGCTTTCCCCAGAAGAAAAGTGAGAGGACCAGGCTCAACACAGGGAGGGGACCTAACATAGGGGTTAAAGATATGTGACTTTCCCTTCCTTTGCTATTGTGAAGGCCTCCCAGCCCAGCAGATTCCATGAGGTTTTCATTATGAAAGGTATTTACATGCTATTTATAGGTACAGAAATATTATGTTACATATTTGCCATTCTTTTCCCACCACCAAATAAAAGCTTCCCATAAATAACGAATCTCTTTCCAGGCCCCCTTTCTCTCTACACCCGACCTCTCTCCCGAGCACAGAGCTCAGACTTCCTCTTTATTTCTTTCCTATGTGTGGCTCCTTTTGTGCAGGGCTTGGGCTCCTCTGCCTGAATCATCTGCTGGTCTTGCCTAAGTCCATATTCCTTGGTCTCACAGGGGCTGGTCCCCCTGTCTTTGAATCCTTGAGGCCGCTCCATGTGCATAAATGTTACACTTATTCCTTAAGTCATTTAGCTTAAAACATTACATTTTCTTTAATAAAACTGATTGGAGATCTAAGCTCTGGCCCTGAGGATGACTTGTTAAAACTTTATATCCCAACTAAATGTCCCCTTCCTTGTCCCAGGGCAGAGGTGGAAAGGCCTCAGCTGAGGAACAAACAACTATCTGATGACCAGGGTCACACCAGAGGAACTTTCTAACTGAAGGGAAGAGGGGCAGATGCTAAGCTGAACATACTCAGTTCTTTCTTCCACACTCATCCATCAGATGACTCATCCCTTCCCTCTCAGCAAAATAACTTGGAGAGATAGGAAGCCAGGTAGAAGTGGTATTGCCTAGAGGAGAGGGGAGACAAGGAGAAGGGGAGAGAGGGGAGGAGAAAGGGAGAGAGGAGAGGGAAGGAGATAACTGCTGTCCAGATAACCTACATCAGTGATTTGTGCTTCAGCTTTGGAATTTCTGCAAGAGACCTGATTCCTTGTAGAAAGAAAGGGGGTCAAGACCTAGATGTCAGATGTTTTAAGCTAAGGCCAATCCATACCACAGGTTGTTCTTAATTTGATGTTTGGAGTTTTGTTACTGAATGCTATAATGAGAGTCTAGCAAACTTTCCTAGCCAGGCTGGTCTTGAACTGAGATCTTCCAGAGTAGACTACGGTTGACACAAGTATGGACAGACAGGGATGTGATACAGTACACTTGGAAATGATTGTGGATGGGCAACACTGTGGTGGGAGAAGAGATCAGTTGTCTGTGGGATTGTCCATGTCCCCTGTCATGAAGCTATTACCTGCAACTAAAATAATATTTCTCCTTATGGCTCCTTTTGGAATCATGGCAGCCATCTAGATTTTCCTCCAGAGGATCAGAAACAGTTCCTAATTAACTCTAAGGTTACTCTGAAACTCCAGCTAAGTCAGTCACATTGTTCTGGGCCAAAGCTATATTCCTCAATCAATCTTGGTAAAGTAAGAGCGTGATATTTTAACAAAATAAACTAACATGGGCATTTGATACATTTTTATCTTTTTTGTAAAGTCAGAAATGTGCAACAATTTCACATGGACTTACTTGATCTGCATTCTTTCCCATTCTTTCATCATATTCAAATATCTTAATTTCTGGTTCCTTCTAAATGCTGTACTTATGCTACCCCTACATGGATTTGGATTTCGTGAAGTGACCTAGACCAGTGATCTTCAAACTGCTTCAAATACATTGCATTTCTCAGGTTCCCACAGATTTCTCAGGAGAAATTAAAAAAAATAATATTTTAAGTAAATCTATTTCCAGATCTTCAATTTTCATTTTCTTCTTTCCCAAAATGATCTTCCCGATAATACCCTGAGTTTTTGTTAGGCATTCTATTACTGCTCTGAAGAAAGGCATACTTGTCACTCACCCTATATCTTACAGTGCTCTACCCAGCCATCTAGAAAACTAGGTTAGGAATGGAACATCAGGTAGAGCAGAAGCCTTCATTCAGGAAGCAAAAAACCCCATAGGTCACCACAAATTGCTTCTTTTTTTCTCTCTGTCTTTTAAGTAAATTTCTGCTGAGAGGGGAATTAGAAAGTCTGTATCTTCCTCAGTGAAGAGATTTTTCTGAAACCAAATATATGGTAGAATATGAGGGTCTTTTTGAGAAAGGTTATGAAAGTTTCCAGTTATTGTATCTCTTCCAGTCACTTATTCTCATAGTATGTAGCTCTTAAGGGACAGTCCTGTTGGATTAAAGCAAAAAAAAAAAAAAAGAGGACTAGCAGGATACAAGTCCTAAAAATAGCTTGTTTTAGGCACACATTTAAATGAAAGCAATTCCTTTCAACTATATTTCATATTCATCCCTAGACTGTGACATTAGCTGGAAAGAAAAGTATCTTTGAAGAGCCAAAGACTCTAAAGGTTAATGATACCGATTATTCTAAATGTAACTGGAAATGTTTTTGAGGACACACGTTTTCAAGATATATTGGATAAAATGCACATATATTATGTTTTTCAGAGTTGGGTCACATTATTTAAGAAAGCAATTCAAATCTCTTGTCAAAATATTCTTAAAATATTTATATTGATTTTTATTTCATATTTTAAGAAATTAGTTGTGAAAAGCTAGACTAAGGAGATTTATTGTATAGAATATAAATTTTCCTTCTTAAACAGGGAAATTTGAACTGATAACTACCAAAATTAACTGAATTATTTATAATTTTGAAAATGTTTAGTTATTACTTGATTTTTCCAAAAGTTGAATACCAATAGTTCAATATTTATAAATCCATTTACCAAAAAAATGCTGTTTTTATGATATTCCTAGATTGTAATTAATTGTGTTAGCTATGTATTACTTTACATTAATACAAATTCAGTAAGATATTTTAACATGACTTTATAATATATGCAAATAAGTCATTTTATTTTAGATATTCCTTATTTTAGTATTGCCAGAGATTTATCAACATTTTTCTTAGAGAATTATCTTCATAATTACTTGACAGCAATTTTTTAGCATTTGAACAAATCAAAGCATTTTTTAATTATTAAAAATGAATTCAGGGGGTTTAGGAATTATTAGGTTTTAGGTGTTATTAGGTGAGTGTTTTTAGTCATATAAAACAGTTATAGTTTTAAGGTTTTGATAAAACATATTTGATAGCTGGGAGCCAGTGGCTTACACCTGTAATCCTAGCCACTCAGGAGGCTGAGATCTGAGGACTCCAGTTCAAAGCCAGCCGGGAAAGAAAGTTTGTGAGACTCGAATCTCCAATTAACCACCAGAAAACAGGAAGTGGCACTGTGGCTCAAGTGGTAGAGTGCTGGCCTCAAGCTGAAGAGCTGAGGGACAGCACCCAGGCCCAGAGTTCAAGACCCATGACTGACAAAAAAAATAAAATAAATAAAAATAAAATACAACATATTTGAAGCACAGAAATATTCTTTTAAAATAGTTATATTGAGATGAACATTTTCCCAATTCTTTCTGAATAAGCTGGTGACCCAAAGTGCTCTCAATGAAGAAGTGATAGATATAATTAATAGTTATTTGATAAGAACCTATGGAATTTTCCCAAGACATTGAAGAAGTGAATGCAAGACTCTTATAGTTGGGTAGCAAATGCTGTTGCAAGCCCAGTGATGTGAATCTTTTACTAATTGAGAGGTGGAGCAAGTAAGGGAAGTTTTCAGATGCCAGATTATTAAAAATAGCGTTGATGATGGGCAGATCTTACATAACTTAGTAAGTGCTCAAAGGATTGACCAATTGTGGTTATACAAATTCCTCCTGCTCCCTTCTCTAGATGAGATTTTTCAGAATTTACACCCAAAAATATAGCAATAAATCAATGTTAAATCATGGTCACATGAATGAATTATAATATCTAATAAAGATAAAAAGCTCCATTTACCATCTTTGATCTGTCAAATCTGCTTTCATCTTTATATACTCCTTGGTACAGATGGGTGTTTTTCTGTGTCTAACTGTGGACTTTCCATCTAAAGACTCAGGGAGAGGCTTAACAATATTTTCCTGCCTCTTTCCAAGAGGTGCTAGTGTCTCATGCCTGTAATCCTCTTCTCCCTTTTTCTGGATCTTATAAAGCTTATTATTACATTTATTTTATATGTGCCTGGTCTGATTTTAAGAAAACGTTTGTTGTTATACCTGTTTTCCTTTTGTCTTCAATATTTCACTACTCCTCTCATAATATATAGAAAAATAGATTTTTGGGGGGAACTTCTATGGTTTCTCCTTGATTTCCTGAAAAGAAAAACCTTGATTGTTTTAGAAATATGTTAGTGAGGAGACACTAAGGGAGGATAGATACCCAATGCCTGAGGAGGAAGGGGAGGAAACACATGAAGGCCTGGAAAGCCATGTCTTCAGTCTGACATGGAGGAAGGATTGAGAAGGGACGAGAGGTTTAGACAGGGAATCAAGCTGGTAGTAGCTCAGGGAAATGTGGCCTTGGCCACAAATTAGTAGAAGATCTAGAGGGCAGCAGCTGAGGCTCCTTGTTACCCTGCCTCCTGTTGCAGGGGCTCTGGTGGTCTCACAGTGTTCCACCGCTGATCAGAAGCCAGGATGCAGGACCACACTTTTGCTGGTGAGAGCGGCTGAGTCTGCTTAGCATCCTTGCCTTTGCCTTTCAGCTTCACTAGTCCAGGTGAAGAATTACCCATGTAAGAGATACTGTTAGATATGGAACCAACCCAGATGCCCTCAGTAGATGAATGGATCAAGAAAATGTGGTATATATACACAATGGAATTCTATGCGCCCATCAGAAAGAATGACATTGCCCTATTTGTTAGGAAATGGAAAGACTTGGAAAAAATTCTATTAAGTGAAGTAAGCCAGGCCCAAAGAAACATAGGCCCCATGTCTGAGTCAAGCAGAAAAGGTCAGATAAGATGATGTTAGGGGAATGAACCCCAAGATAAGTATTCAAATGTTTTTTTTCTTTCATGCAATTGTTTCTAACATATTTATAAGATGATTTCTTTGTTGCTTTGTATGTCCCTCCCTCACGGTATAACCCCTGTTTTCACTGTATTTGATGTTGGTATAATTTGTGGAGGGAAAGGGCAAAAACAAATCGTTTATCTAGGGATACAGGTGGACCCATTGCAACAATGAGATGTACAAGTCGTTATGTCAAAAAGCGAACTTTACAACTTTGGTGGGGGGGGGGAGGACCGGGTAGTGAGGTGGGGAGAGTATGGGAAGGAATGGGAAGGGGAAACAAAGAGGAGGCAACAAAGTTTGATAAGAAATGTACTCATTATCTTGCCCATGTAATTGTAACTCCTCTGTATGGTATTCTCACAATTTAAAAAAAAAAAGAGATATTGTTGCTGACCTGTGAAAATAGACAAACAGACTCACAGGGAACAAAGTCCAGCCTCCTCTGAACCACATGTGTGACCTTGCTTAGATGTGTGTGTGTGCGTGTGTGCGTGTGTGTGTGTGTGTGTGTGTGTGGTGTGTGTGTGGTGTGTGTGTGTGTCTGTGTGGTGTGTGTGTGTATGTGTGTGCACGCGTGCGCGCCTCAGTTTTCTCAATTGTAAAATATGGGTTAGATAAAAGGCCTTTCCAACCATTGCCTATTGTAATATTTAGGGTCTTGAAGATTCAATGCAGAGGAACAGATTTTCTCCTATATTTCCAAATTTATGCTGTGGAAAACATGCTTACAACTTTTCTTTGTAAGAGATCTGATTCACTGGAATATACCTGGGGTATAATTACTGTATATATGTATATAGATATTAGCATAAAATTATTCTCAGACATAAATGGTCTAATGTTAGTAGCTGATTGCCAAAGACATTGGGTTTGAATTGTTTAATGTAATGCTAATTTGTTTCAAGTGCAAACACTAATCAGGAACATTAGGTAATTATCATTTAGATATAAGACCCCAATATATGAGATCTGAATTTTCATTGGAGCCTTTGTATCACATTGTGGATACTGGATAACAATGGGGAAGGTTTCTAAGATGTATGCTCATTACAGAAATTTGTAGTGACAAATTTTGATTGTCAGTATTACCTTTTGTTGAATATCTGACAAGAAGTCTCTATTAAGTCTTAGAGAATAATGTCTATATTTAATGTAGTTTGATTAAATTCACTAATCCAAAGCTTCTCTATGTAGAAATTAGTATGCTATGAATTTGAATAAAGGAACAAAAATGAACCATTGAATTTGATCCTAAAACTACTTTAATTTTAATCATTTTGTAAGTGGGAAAACCAAGTCCCAACTGACCCAAGTTAAAAAAATAATAATTGCAACAATTTTATTTCATTTTTATCTATTAAAATTTGTGTTAGTTTATGTTAATTATACAAAACAATGGATGCCATTAGGACATTTTCATACAGGTATAGAATGTACTTTGATTATATTCACCTCCATTACTGTCTCTTGGCCCTGTTGCTACTATGACATTTTCCCTTCTTCCCAATAGTTCCCCTTCTACTTTTGTGTTTTTATGCTTTTAATATAAATTCTGCATATGAGAGAAAATGTCATATTTGTCTTTCTGAGCCTGACTTATTTTGCTTAATTGCATTTTTTTGCAAATGAGATAATTTCATTTTTCTTTATGGCTGAATAAAACTTCATTACATATATATAATATTTTCTAACCTTATAATTTGGTTATTGACAATTTTCTTTTGCTTCCATGTGCCAGGTACCTTTAGAAGTACTCAGTATATATTAGCAAACTTAAGAGATGGACAAAATCACCAGAAGAGACTGACTTTGTTGTTTCTAACATCTTATACTCAAGGAAACTAAGACAAAGAGGATAAATTGAATTGCATGCTTTAGGGCCATAAGCAGAAGCAAAACAGTCAGGGTTCAAATCCAGACAGCTTGGCTCCAGAGCCCATGCTTCCCCTCCTGCATTTTAACGTACACTCCAGCATTGTGTATGAAAGGCAGGCCAGGACTAGAGCTCAGATGTTTCTTATTCCCTTCCAAGTGTCTTTTCCATAACACAATGTTTATAGAAACAAACCCATTGTAGTAAAAATAAACATGATCATTGAAACTGCACAAGGTGCTGCTCAGATCACCCAGATCTGGAAGTCTTGGTCTCTTTATGAGGTCCTTAAAGGATCTGATTCCTTATCTCCATTTCCACTTCTCCCAGGGGAAACTTGAGCAACTGACATTAATTAGCAGGTAGAAATCATTTATAATCAATGAATCACATGCTACAAGGCTAATGGCTGGTTTTTAAGATTTATAAAGAGCTTTTTCCCAGAAATTAGCTACATTCTTCTAGGAATAGTCTTATATAGTCTTCATATCTTATTTGCAAATGATTTTTCCATTTGCTTTCTAGCTTGGCCTTTTATTTGGTTATTTCCAGCCTCTTTCACCAGTACTCTAGAGGCTCCAGCCTGTATGATCAGTATGCATTACTCATTGAGTTATTCACTGGTTGACAGAATTCCCAATGTGGCTACTTGGGCATGGCTATACACCAATTCAAATGTCCACTAAGCAGTAAGCTACTGTAGAGTGCATCTCTCAGCGTCACCCCTGAAGTCATTGCCTAGCTGGAGTTCACCAGTAGCCATCTAGACATTAGCAAACATTTTGGTCTTCGTTGCAGCAACTCTTTTTTTTTTTCCCAACTTGATGTTTATTTAATGGTTTCTAATTGAGAGTCAGGAATACAATACTATGCTATTTGCCGAGCCCATCAATATTGAGAGCTGATTTGCTTATGGATTAGAACAGGAAAAATTTGTTGCCTATATCCTAGTGCTTTGAAATGGTCCCACATTTCTGAAATGTAGCTATGACCTCACTGAAGGATAGAACCTTGTTGCCCCAACAGTGGGCAAGTGGATAGATTAAGATTACAGATTCCGTGGGGGCTATTAGGAGCATTAGCCCACAGGTATTCCATAAATGACAAGTACATGGGAGTCAATCAGCTGACTTTTCTCTCTCTCTCTTAGGCACTGGTGAGAAAAATTGATGCCTCGGACAACATCTACACCACAGAGACCACCACAGGGAATCTGTTCAGCCTGACCCAGGAGGGGGCTCCTTTGTGTCGCATCATAGCCAAGGTGAACATGATGGTTACAGACAGAGTGACAGGCCTGAGGAAAGGAGGAGAGAGCACAGTTGTTCAGTGTGTGGAAACAGCTGGCCTGGGAGCTCTGGCCTCAGCATCTGCTTGCTGTGTGCCTGTGGGAGAATCACCTCTTCTAGCTGGCTCGTGGTGTTTCTATCTTTAATAGGTAGCTAGCCTCAGTTACTTTCTACTGGAGACACAAAGGCAGTGTCCCCCGAACCTCTACCATCTTTCTTTATGCTGTGTCTTTTATTTTTGTTGTTTTTTATTAATAAGTTTTTGTATTGTGAAAATACCGTACAGAGTGGTTGCAATTACATGAACAAGGTAATGAGCACACTTCTTATCACGCATTGTTGCCCATCCCCCCCTGCTGTCGTTTATAAATATCAACCTCCCTTTTCTACTTTACCCAGCCTTCCCTAGTGTCCACAGGAAGATGTAATGAATACAAAGACTATCTGGCATGTAGCATATGGGAAGATCAATTAACTTTCTATGACCTCCTGGCATCATAAATGCAGGAAATGTAGTGTGTCTAACCTAGTTCAAAGAAAAGTTTTTAATATTGTCTTGTCTATAGGTTAATCCTCATCTATGTCTCCTAATCCTTTCATTATAGAAATTTCTACCCCATAATAATTAGCAATAGGACAAATAGGAGACACAGGTTTCCAAACAAGACCTTTACTCAAATTCATGTGACTCATCCAAACATATCCCCTTACTCAGCTTCTTGGCTGGCTCCCAGAAATGCTTATAACAACCCCAATACTATGTGAGGCTTAGAGAAACTCAAAAAGGACATTGTTTTAATTAGTTCCATAGAGATTGCAATTCATTAGCTTCATGGCTGATTTGCCCTTGATTATAGCCAACAAAAACTTAGTAAATGTAGACAATTGATAGTCCTAGAACGGTTTCATTCTTCTTTATCATTTTTTAAAAATTTTCTTTAAAAGTCACTTATTTTTGAGACAGCGTCCATGGATAGCAGCATGGGGCCTAAAGGTGTTTTATGCTTTGGAAGAACAGGCCATAGAGTTTCTGGGGAAGGGGACTTTGCTGTGCCTAGGTTCTGAATGGGTGTTCTGTTCTAGAGCTGGGCACTCAAAGCCCAGGCTATGTGCTGCTTGAATGTCAACAGCTTCTCCTATTCCTTTTCTAGAAAAGCAGAGAGAGGACTTACATTTGGGTGTGAGCCAAAGACGGTGTCTGGCCTCCTGTAGATTTAATTTTCTCTGAGGACTGGGACTCACCTCTGGTTAAATATTGATCACAAACATTTCCAGTGGTAGAAAGTAGGGGAGAAAGGCCTGAGTGGGGATCAGTGGTAGCTCTTAGTACTGCCATTAGCACACCCCAGGAAGGTGGTCATGCCTCTGTGCATTAGCTTTCCCTTGGTAAACTATACAGTATTTTAGAGACTTTCCAAATCTACCATGCTGTCTGACTTTCTTTTTCGGGGTTTAAACTATAGTCTGGGATTTTTATTTATTTTTTATGTGTGTGTGTGTGTGTGTGTGTACATGCATGCGTGCACATGTCAGTCCTGGGTCTTGAACTCAAGGTTTGGGTGCTATCCCTGAATTTTTTTTATAACTCAAGGCTAGCACTCTACCACTTGAGCCACAGCTCCATTTCTGGCTTTTTTTTTAGTTGTTAATTAGAGATAAGAGTCTCTGAGACTTTTCTGCCTGGGCTGGCTTCAAACCTTGATCCTCAGATCTCAGCCTCCCAAGTAGCTAGGATTCCAGGTGTGAGTGGACAGCACCTGGTAGGTGTCTTTATTTTTTAAACAGAAGGCTAAGGTGAATTATTTCCTACATTTAGTCATCACTTCCGTCATTTCTCATCATAGGGTTCATATCTATTCTAGCCCTTCTCAGTGACTCAAATATGCCCAATGTGTGTAACTCTAGCCCTGAACAATCAAGACCCATTGTAAGTATTCAAAGATTTTTTTTAATGAAGACTAGGCATAGCAGTGCATGCCTGTAACTCCAACTCTGCAGGAGGCAGAGGTAGGAGGAATGAGGTCCAGGCCAACCTGGGCAAAAACCACAAGATCCTATCCAAAACATAACTAAAGGATAAAGGACTGTGGTGGAGCTCAAACAGCAGAGGGCCTGTTTAGCAAATGCAAGAAGCAAAGTTCAAAACCCTATTACCTTGAAAGCAAACAAACAATAACAAAAAAACAAAAACAGTTTGCACTGATCCTTTGAGTGTTACATAGGCCATGGCCCACCAAAGCCTGACCAATGGAAGACATGAGTCCTTTTGAATTTGAATAGCAACACTGGTTGCTGGTTATTCCCCAAATGCCAGACCCTGTATTGGTACCTTTCTTCTTTTGGTTGTGCAGAGGATTGAACCCAGGGTCTTCCATGTGCTAAGCTGGTGTTCGCTGAGCTGTACCCCAAACCCTTGTACTGCTGTCATTTGCTTAGTTGTTGTATCTTGTCCACCTCCTTGCTTGTGAGATGGATATTAATGACCCTGTTGCACAAATAAAGACTCTAGGACTCACAGTGGTTGAATATCTTAAGCTGGGGACACTTGAAACCAGATTTGTCTTTGGAGCCAATACTCCTTGCATTTCACTAGTTCAACTGGCTGAAATCTAGAGTCCTTCCTTTTCTATGCTAACCCCTACATAGTACAACAACTCTGCTTCTGTCTTAATCAAGATTTCCTCTGTCTTTACTTCTGGTTCACTGCATAATGATTGATCTACACACTCCAGATGGAAGATTGAGAAAGGCTAGGACTGAGTGATGTTGGTAGGAGTGGGGAGAAATGGGGGAACTTGAGACTTCTAAAGGTGGAAGTGGTTCACTTTGATGATGGTGGTAATGATAGATGAACTAACAGTAGTAGTGGAAAGAAACCTCAATATTCTCGGAGCACTTAATTATGTGCCAGACAATGTTCTAAGTGATTTATATATGTTAATTTGTTTAAACCTCCTCTCAGGTCTGTTTAGTGGAGCTCCAGGGAGCTAAGATAGTGAGATCATACAGCTAGTAAATGACAGCTAGTAAATGTATCTAGCTATATACGTGGAATCAAATGTGATGTTTTTGTTTGCTGTTTTGAACTGCCCTTCTGTAGCCCTTCCCTTCCCTCTTACCTTCCTTCCCTCTTGTCCTCTTCTTCCCCTTTCCCTCCTTCCATACGGCTTTAAGTCTGTTACCTTTTCCATGCTCAAGCCCTTTTACCTTTCCATTCACTAGCTCATCCCATGCTTCAACAGAGTTTAGATGTGATAAAATAATTCTCACCTTTAAGATTAGGTAACAGCTGAGTATGCGTGTCTCCTGCCTATAATCCTAGCTACTCAGGAAGCTGAGATAGGAGGATCTTAGTTCAAAGACAGTTTGGGCAGACAAATCTGAGAGATTCTTATCTCCAGGTACCACCAAAGAGTGGCAAATGATTGACGTGGTAGGGTGTCAGCTCTGAGTGAAAATGCTAAGGGATGCCTCAGGGTCCCTGAGTTCAAGCCCTCCCCCACACAAGAGGGAACATACATGTTCAGAGAGAAGTTAAATATCTTGTTCACAATTATGCGCATTGAAACAGAGCTAGAATTTTAACCAAATATACTTATTTCAATCTCCTTGGGCTACAGCAGACAGAAGGTTGAAGCAAAGAAAAGAGTCAGTGATGGCTCTCATCTTCCTAGCCTGGAAGAAAGCAAAATGAGTTCTTTCAGCAGACTCTGTGGAGATGTACAGTCCCAAAACATTGAAGATGCCGGGAGTCCCTGGCATTCCCTGCCCAACATCTTTGCCTCAGAAGCTCAGTAAATGTGCCCAGCATTGTCCGTGGGAAGTCCCATAGACTTCCTCGTCCATGTCTTTGGGACCCACTGTGGTCTTTTGTTGGATTATCTGAGCTGTCTCCAGAAGAGAGCTTGGCAGCCTGTCTGAGGTCTGTCTTCCCAGTCTCTTGGGATTCTCTGAAGACCAAGTGAAGAGCCCAGTTTTCCCTATAATGATGTGACAAACCCCATCCCATCCCAGAGCAGAGCACACACAACTCCCCTGTGCTTTGTTTAATTGCCCTCAGTTTCTCTGTTATCCCCCCCCACACACACACACCAGCTTGCACACTCCACAGTGGCCTCTGCCAGCTTTATGAGAGCTCATCCCAACCCTGTCTGAATAATTCATACTGTTATGTAGCTGGGCTCAGAGCCCAGAGCTTTCTATAAAATTAACCAAGCTCCAGCCAGCAGTGTGATCTGCTAACTCAGGCAATCCTGTTTTACTCTGGATGAGCACTGTTCTCCCAGCCTGATGGGGGTTTCAGCAAGGTCCATGAGATAATCCCTCAAAATTCCTCCAGGTCCTCCTGCCTCTTTTCCCTTTCACATCTTCCAGCCTGTGGTATATCTACCATGAGGATATTAAGTAAGTTTCCAACAAAAAGGCCTTTGCATTCTGAACCTCAAACTAATGCCCAGAAAGGGAGCATCAGGTCCTCCGACCCACATTAACTCAGTTGCTCCCCCTACTGCTCAGACATGAAGCTGTCATGGCCAAAGCAGAGGTAGGATTTTAAAGAAAATTCTCCTTAAAATGTGACTCCAGGCATTTCCTCTTTCCTTTCCCAGTAACTGAAAATGCTAAGAAGGACATTTTTCATAGGTTTGGGAAAAGATGTAATGAGAATGCAATGCAAATCCATGCAGAGGCTTAAATATAGTTGTGCTGGGCTCAGTGCCTTGAGCCAAACTGAGGCTGCCACATTCATCTTGGTTTTGGCTTCATGTTCTTTGACACCATATTATCATCATCTGCTCCACATGTACCTTCTATTAATCATCTATCTATTGAAATAATGTTTATACAACTGAGATGATTCAATGCAAATAAATACACGTATAAATATGCATTTCTTTTTTATTGTGCATTTCTATGTAATGCTTATTTATATCTCTAGTGGTCTGTTAATGACCCAACAGGGGTGGTTGAAGAAAACGTGGTTCTACTATTTGTTTGTTTGCTTGTTCACTTTATAGAGTAACTTAATTTTGTTTCATTGACTCTATAAGTAGTCTTTATGTAGAACACATAGAGATGTCCCCTGAGAAAGCAGGAAGGCAAAGGTATAAAGGATTATGGGACAAGAAATTACAAGAGTAGACACCTTATCTCATGCTTGACTTATTTTTATTAGAATAATGCATTTAAAACCAGGGTGCTTCTGTCCTGACCCTTCTACAAATCTATTCTAAATTGAGAGGCTCTGGCACCCTATCCCCTCAGCCCTTCTTTAAGCAGTCTCAATTCATTGAACTTCTATCCAGCTTTGAACATAGTTTTAGAGTTTCCTGTCCTCCCTGCCAGGCTATGAATATAGTAAGAGTAGGACAGTCTTGCTCAGTGTTCAGCAGAGTGTTTAGCATCTAATAAGCTGTTACTATTTTTTGAATGCATGAATAATTTTACCAGCCCTAAGGTATATATTCTTGTCCTAGCAAATCAACTACCCCAGAGGGAAATAGAGATGAAAAAGTTTGTGATCAGCCAACTGATTACAAATGTCAGATTTTATCAACTCTCCATCATTGTATACCTTCATCTTGGTCTCTGTAGTGAGCATCTGCAAAATTCTCAGAGTAAAAAAGAGCCCATAGGCCTAACTTTATCAAATGGAAGGGAAGGAAAAGCCAGTAATAAGTTATTTCAGCGCACCTTCCTACCTTCTTTCCTTTTCTCCCTCTTCTTCCCTTTGTCCTCAAGCCTGTACCTACTGTGCCAGGCCCTGTTGCATATGCTGAGGATAAAACAGTGGATAGTCAAAAGGAATGAACAGGTAGAAAAAGCAATGGCCATGATAGCCCATGGCAGGTGCACTGATGGCCAGACTTCTCCACAATCTGACAGTGTATTTTGCTAAATTTATCTGCTAATGACATTTTATTCATTTGGGGGAACAGGTGCAATGGCCTTAGTTAAACCCAGGAATGATGAGGTTCAAGGTGAGTGTCTTGAGGGCTCAGATGCATTAATTGCTGTGGCAACCTCTAGGCCTCTTCTAGTCCTCAAGGACAGAAAGTGGGAGGTACAAAGACTGATGAGGGGCACCCAATTCTTCTCTGTACGTGCATGGGCACTGTACCAGAGATGAGCTCATTGAGGAGTGCCACTCCTTTGCTGGACACTGGGCTGACTGCCCTGTTTTCTGGGGGTGCTTTCACTCATAGAATCACGGGGCTCCAGTGATGGTTACGGAATAAGTGTGATCAGTTGGCAGGGTAGCTTGAGGATGAATGTCTCATGCCCAGATTTTTTTCCTGGAGGTACACATGCTATTGGGCAATCTCCAAGAGATATAAAAAAAAGTTTTCAGAAGGACAAGGAAAAAAGACACATTCGTATTCAAGAGGTAGATGATTGTGATGAAATGAATGTGTGTCTTTTACAAATAGGAGATTGCAAATGAAGATGCTATGGACTTAGGGTGGATTGCTTTACCCATCTGGACTTCTGTGCTTTCCATCTGAGTGGAAATAAGTTATAACTGTAACATAAACAAAAACTTCTTTCTGTCTGCCTTCCACTGCAGTCAGAAGTAACATGGTGATTGATTGGTGGTAAAAGAAAAGCGGCAGTGGGCTTCTATCTTCCTTTCTCTCTATCTGCCTTCAGTAGACTTCAGTCTATTCCCCAGGAGCTTCTCAGGAGGTGTTGAAGTGTACTTGGAAAAGTATTGAACGGTGTTGATCTTTGGATCTAGAAAAACTTCACCCCCCAGCTTCTTCCCCAAGTCCTAGAAGCATTTGAGGAATCCCATGACCAACTTGAACTGTCAGGAGCCAGCACTTCACTGTGCATGTGTGTGAGTATGTAAGTGTGAGAGGGTACGCATGCTGGGGAAAACACCAAAGAGCTTAACTGCTAAGCACCAGAGATGTCAGCCCAGGGAAGGTCATATGTAAGATCACGTGACATTTTCTTCTTCCTGGCAGGAAGGTGGGGTTGTAGCACTCTTCAAGGTCTGCAGACAGGACAGTTTCCGGCCCTTGTACCCCCAGGCGCTCCGTACACTGGCCTCCATCTGCTGTGTGGAAGAGGGTGTTCACCAGCTGGAGAAGGTAAGAATGGCTGGTTGGGGTGGGGCTGAGGTTCCTGATTCTCCTGAGCCACTCAGATGAAACTATTGGGGGACACGATGAGGTTTAATGTAGAAGAAAAGGAGAGAAGACACTCAATACTTCATAGGTGGATGACCAATTGAAAGTTGAGTGGGTGGGACCGCAGAGGGCAGGCAAGTTGGTGTTGAGGTTCGGAGCAGGCTGGTCCTTCACTCAGAGCAGGAAGGGGATCCAGACCAAGAACAGAAGGCACTGGGTACTACCTTAGCCACCTTTCTCCTGCTGTATATAATGAAATACCTGAGAAATTCAGTGTGAAGACAGGAAGATGTATTTGGGCTCAGAGTTTCAAAGGTTTTAATTCAAGATTGGCTGGATCCAAATTTGAGTATGAGGTGAAGTAGAACATCATGATGGTAGAAGCACATGCTAGAGGAGGCTGCCCACCTCATGGCAAACAGGAAGCCAAGAGAAAAGTAGAGGAGATGGGGAAGAGAGGTAAGAGACAGAAACAGAGAAAGACAGAGGGAGACAGAGAAAGACCAGTTGGTGCCTTCCTTCTGCTTTTGTTCTATCTCAACTCCAGCCTATTAGATGAAGCTGCCCACTTTCTGGGCGGGTCCTCTTTCCTAAGTTGCTATCAACAAAGCTAATTGTCTCTGGTAAACCCCTCATGGCCACACCCAGAAATATGCTTCACTCATCTCTTAGGTGTCTCTCAGTCCAATCAAGTTGTCACTCAAGATGTGCCCTTCTAGGCTCATAAGCAAGCGAAGGTCCTCTCCATAGAGGACTGTAAGGCTTGGATAGGGGTCAGTGTGGCTCAGAGAAGCAGGTGGTCACAGAAGGAATGTGGTTCTGTTGACTGAGTAGATATGAGTTTGCAGATAGGCCCTCAAGGGTGCTAGGAGGATTCTGGAGGTTGGTTGATGTTGGGGATTTTTTTTGCCAATAGACTTTGAAGAAAAGATGCCAAATGCTCTTATGAAGGAGAAATGAAGGGCCCAAAATATCTCAGGACAATTGTGATGCCTACAAGATTCAGGGCAGATGTTCTGCATGTGTTCCTGTGGTTAGGTCTAAATGGATAGGGTGTGATTAATTTTTGCTTTGTGTGTGAAATAATTCCTTCTCTTCTCCCATAAATCTTTTTTCTTGGATAATGGGCTAATGGCCAAACGAGTTGTGTTTCTCATCTAATTTAATGTCTGGTTGGCAGAGAGGATGGGAAGAAAACATAGAAGGGGTTAGCATCACCAGTCCTCCAAAAGCAGTGAGTTGCTTGGCTTCAATGAGTCTGCAGCACAGCAAAATTTTCAAAGCAGGGAAGAAAAACAGCAAAGACTTCTTGTTTAGAACTGAAACCTATGTAGCTGGGAAGTCTGGAGGCAGTTCTTCCATCCACAGGATGCATGCTCAAATCCAGGATGCTTCAGTGCATAAGCTGGTCTAGCTAGTGTCACCAGCTTACTGAAGGACAGAAGAAGGCGTAGAGGTAAGGGACCTGGAAGGAGGCTTACTAGGGGCTAGGTGCTGGGATGATACTTCACACACTTTTCCATTAACACACCAGCGCCTTGTAAGATCATCACTATTAACATCTCTGTCCTAAAGACAAGGCAATGATGTCTCAGGTAGTTTGCATAAAACCACATAACTACTAAATAGGGGAGGCAGAATTTGAGCCTTGTCTGCCTAAGTCTACCACCCAGGGCTGTGTCCTCCTTGCCTTGCTGGCTCAGTGGACAACATTCTGAGAGCATTGAAAGGTCCCTGAGCCTTATCCCAAGTCATGTTACTGCTCTGGCCTGTTTCCTAACGCATTCCCAATGGCATAGGGGATGGCCTACCGTTCTTCCATGTTAGGTAGCTGTGACATAAATATATGTGAGACCGTGCCTCTGGGCCAAGCTCTGAGTGAGCTGATCCTGAGGAGACCCTTTAGGTCAGAGCCCTCCACAGCAGCCCTAGAGCTTGCAAAGTGGCTCCATATGGATTTGAATTTCATGTGATGCTTGCCTCACATTTAAAGCATCCACTGTGCACATGAAGACACAGAGGCCCAGATAGATGAGACAATATCTTGCCCCAAATCACAGTGTACAATCTGTGTGCTCAGCAAATATTTGTTGAGGATCTGCACTGTTTTGGTGCCAGGAATACAGCAGTTGACACAGACAAAGCCCCTTGTGCTCACAGGAGTTATGTTCTAGTATAGGTAGCAAGAGATGGTTTACGAGCCAAAGCCAGCCTTTTGTCTGTGTGTGTGTGTGTGTGTGTGTGTGTGTATGTGTGTGCGTGCGTGTGCGTGCACGCATGTGTGTACTGAGGGGTTGGTTGCTTCCCTGAGCTCTTTTGCTCAAGGCTAGTGCTATCTCACTTGAGACACAGGTCTACTTCTCCAGGACTTTCCTGCTTGTGCTGTCTTTGAACCACAAATCCTCAGATCTCACTATCCTGAGTAGCTAGGATTACAGGTGTGAGCTATTGGTGCCTGTCGGTTGTCTGTTTTAATGGGACTCATAAGCTAAGAATATGGCATTTCCACTCACTTTTAAATAGTTGAGAAAATCAGGAGAAACTTTTATGTCCCATGAAAAATATGTAAACTTAAATTTGTAGTCTCTTAAATTTGTTTTTTTTCGTATTTTTTAGGTATGCATGCATGTGTGTAGTACAATGGTTTGAACTCAGAGCCTTGTGATTACTAAATAGGTGCTTGACCACTTGTACTATGCATACACAGCCCTTTTTGCTTCAGTTGTTTTTAGGGTAAGGTCTTACATTTTTTTGCCTGGGGCTGGCCTTGGACCTTGATCTTTCAAACCATGTAGTAGGCAAGAACTATTACCATGAGCCATTGTGTCTAACTTATTGGTCTAATGTTTTGCTCAGGCTGGCTTTCCAATCTCCACCTCCCCAGTATCTGGGATTATAATTGTGAGCCACCAATCCCTGGCTAGTCCACCAACTTCCATGGGCCACAGCCATGCTCTCTTGCTTATGGTTGACAGGCTATATGTCTATGTCTGTGTTTCCATCCTAACTATGTAATATCTGCTCGTACCTACAACAGCAGAGCTGAGTCACTGCAGCAGAGTTTCTGTGGTCTGCCAAACCAAGAACATTTACTCCCTTGCTATCCACACAAAACTTTCACCTACCCCAGTGCTGTCATGCCAATAGTGATGAGGATTATGACGGACGTGCATGCAGCCTTGGAGCAAGTGTTTTCCTCTGCCCCTTCTTAAGTCCCTGTCATAGACACATCCCCTTGGGGTTGCCATTGCCCCCACTGCTTAGAGAAGAAGGAAAGAAAACTCAAATGAGGCATCTCGCTTGATGGCATATAGCTACCAAATGCCTGGGTAGTAATTGAATTCCAGCTCTGCTGGGCCAGAGCCAGCCTAGGCTGTTAACTATTATGCAAAACCAGGAACCAAACCTGTTGTGATGGTGCCAACGTCTTCATTCTTTCCTAACATACCATGTTGTTTTCCAAAGTTATAGAGATACCCATGAGGCCTTCTCCAGGTCCCCCTCTCTGGGTCCTGCTCACCCCTGCCCTCCCCTGTGATCAAGGCCCTTCAGTCCTGGCCTGAGGCTCCCATAAGGTATGCAATGCAGTGTTTGGGCTGGAAGGTAGAGAAGCCAGCCACAGGAAGCACTGTGGAAGCCAGCCTGGCAGGTATGCGGAGAAGGGTGTGCTGGGGCACAGTCGAGCAGTGACCTAATTAGATACTGTCACAGTCACGGCCTTCCCCTCTGGATTTACTGGTCTGTTGAAGACCAGTAAGTTCACTTGCTTGTTTAATTGGCAATACGAAACCCAGTGGACATAGTGAAATCCATCTTTGTCATGGGGCTTCCCTGTCTATTTCCACACCTGATGAGGTTTGTGAAGTCCTGTGCAGTCGCAGAGGAGGTGTGGGGCCAGCCTTAACACAGGACACCTCCAGCCCTCCTGAGCGGTGTGAGGCCTGTGCCTTGTCAGATGCCCGGATTGATGAGCTCATAGATTTAGTTATGTCTCCTTCATTCATTTGCCTGAAGTTGCTTCATCTGTGCTCCTTCATTTCTTCTGGGGTCAAATACTTTGACACCCACTCGCTGGTTTCTCATGAGGTCTATCCCTGAGAGGGCTATAGATTCATGCTTCCTTCTCCAGCATACTGAGGAGCTTGTGGCCTTTGAAAGTCAGGCACTCCTAGGTTTGAACCTAATTCTCTGTACCTATGACCTTGGAGAAATCACAAGTTACCTGGGGGCAAGGGGGAGGGGACATTTTTGGAGCTTCTCAGAGGCATATTTTTCTTAATCAAATGGATATAATGAGATCTGTCTCACAGAACTGTTGGTGGATTATGTGACTACAATGATGTGGCTTTTGGCACGCAGTAGGCACTGAGTAACTGCTAGCATCATTGTGGAAGGGACAGCACTAATGGCTGGGGCTCTGGATCAGCAGTTTGGTAAGATTACTCTCCAATGGACAGGGCGGCCTAGCTTACTTGGAAGAGGGCTATCCTGGTCAGAGGAGCCAGAGGCGCAGTGCAGAGCGGCTGGGTGTGGCTGGAGCCCAAGTCCTCACAGCCTTTCCTCCTGTGTACAGACAAGGGAACTGAGGCTCCAGGATGGAGCCTCATAAATGTGTAGAACCTGTTCTCAGGCAAAAACTGAGCTGCTTCCAAGCTCTCGCTCTTTACTCTTCTGCCACCTGGGAAGAGCTGGTCTTTCGAGGTGGGGACCATGAGGGATGGGTTCCTGAGAGCCAGGTTCTGGGTGTTAACTTGGTCAGGAGGTAGATCTGGATACATGCAAGGCAGGGCTGGATGAGACATGATGTTAACACGCATAGGCCTCTTAGAAATGTAGGAAGGCCCTTCTAGGCTCTATTCTTTCTTAGCAGCCATTTGGAAGTTTGGCTCAATGGTGGATATAGTGGAGAGGCTATCCCATGGCCATCAGACAACATGGGTAGGAGGCCCATCTTGGCTGGG